CTGAGAACGGGCAGGTTCGGCTGCTGCTCCCTGTGGAGCCGTCAAGAGAGACCATCCATGAGCGCCCTACACTTAAGCACTACAGAAATATACCTCTTTCAGAAGTAGTATCTGTAATAGCAGGTCTGCTTGGAGGTGGGCCAAAGATGATGGTATTGGTGGTAGAGTCATTTGCCTTTGGAGTAGGAAGCATAATATCTGGAAACATTGCTGTGCACGGAGTTATGAGCTTGGTTTTCTGCTCGGATCATGTGCAGAGCCCCATTGCAAGGTGAAGACATAGCCATAGTGCTTCCTCTGTTACCTTTATGTTTTCCAGGAGTGTTTGCATTGAAGCAGCCATCTCTTTCCAACCAGGAAAATGTGTGGGAGTAACTCTGAAACTCACCCAGAGTGCTCCTTAATTGGATGTGATAGTTATTACTGAGGAAAAAAAAAAAGAGGCAGACTTATACTACTCAATGTTTTTCTCAAATAATACGTCCTGAGATGTACTTCATCACAGACTACCTCCAAGGATTTTGTCATCCCAAAACCCTGTTCATGTTATGTATTTCCAGTGTTTTTGCTGGGAACTTTTAATCTGTACATACAGTAGTAATTTTATCTTCTTTCCACTCGGCTGTCTGTATTATATTAAAAACCTTCAGAAATGGCCCTGACTGGTACCTGCTGTGCTAAGCATCAGTTTGTGCACCCTTAGGAGCACGCATCATGAATTACTGTGAAGAGCACTGCATTTGGAAGATCAAAAGTTGCCCAACACAGTATCATACCTTAAAGACTCTTCTTATGTGAACAAAAAAACCCTGTTACTGCTACTGAGGGGTGAATTTGAATACCTGCAAATCTCAGTATTATGAGTTAATGGAATTTTTAATAACTTTTTTTTTGCTAAAAGGATATGAGATTACATTTCTTTATACAATATTCTCTTGCTTGGAGCATATAATTTGTGCAGGCTTTTCATGGAATCTGCCTGTCAAAAGAGTGACCTCCCCTCTAGAAACAATCCTTCAGGAAGCTTTTCTCCACTACTTTCTGTACTGCTGTGCTCTCAGTTTTATTGTCTTAAAAACCTGAGGCCTTATCCTGGTAATTCAATATCCAGCAAAGCATGTTGCTGAGATGAGAACATTATTTTCCTTCAGGTATTGTAAAGTAGACTAAGTTAGTATTGTGGCTTATGTATATAAATAATATAAAAATAAATGTATGGACTGAGATTAGAAATTTTATAAGAAGGAGGAAAGTAGTTCGTAACCCCTGTGTAGTAAACTAGGGCTGATAGGCACGTATAACCCATGCACAGGAATTGATTGCCTAATTTCCTTCTCAGGTGTTGCAGATATGCCCTAAGGACATGAGAGCAGATATCTGTGTGCATCTGAACCGCAAAGTTTTCAAGGAGCACCCAGCCTTCAGGTTGGCGAGTGATGGGTGCCTTCGAGCACTTGCTATGGAATTTCAGACAGTGCACTGTGCCCCAGGAGACCTGATCTACCACGCTGGCGAGAGCGTCGACAGCCTTTGCTTTGTGGTTTCGGGGTCTTTGGAAGTAATCCAGGATGATGAAGTCGTTGCTATATTGGGTGAGTTTCACAGCTGATAATATGCATTGTGCACAAATACAGATGCATAGAGCATTTTTATAGCCTCTTCTACTCAGGCACTTAACTCGTTCTTTAAAAAGCTTCAGTCAAGTTAGCTTTAGCACAGCCTGGTGAGGTATATTTTATTGTCCTTCCTGTTCCACATAGATAAATAAGAAGGGCAATCATCTCATCTCCAGATTGCTTCAACCCTAGTTCTTCTGGTCAATGGAAACTCTCCTTGAGCATTGGGACCCTGGTCATTCTTGGGCTTCTTCCTGTCTCACCACATCTCTTTTCATTAGAAATTCCATTGAGGACTTCAGAAAATTTATTTTTAAAGTGCCTGGCTTCCCTGCCTTCCTCACATCCTCCAATAATAATCCCCGTTTGCTGAAAATTTTGCAATTAGATTTATTTAAGGTCTTATGTTGAAATAATATTTATCTCTTTTAAAGCCAAAGTAATAAAAAAATTTAGATCCAATTTGTGTTAACTTGGAATGACAGCTTTAGATTGGAGGCATTAAAAAGAAGCGGTAGTGGTGTGAACAGCATTCTGAGGCAAAGCAAGGAGAAAAGAGTGTGGTAATCCAATAGATGTAGATGAATCATTGGGTGGCTGGAGCATTGAGGAGGTGATACTTATAATTTGATTCTGTCAAACCCTTTTGTGATAAGGTAAATTCTCACGGAGGCTGAATCCAGTACCTGTCACTCATAGCAGCCTGGAATAAAAGAACAGCTTGGTAATCTTTACTCTCTCTGAACACATACACCCAACTCTCCTAAGAGAAATGTGTACTGAAAAATGGCAGTGCTAATAAATGTGCTGAATTGAGTTTTTCTCTGCTTCTGAATAGGATTGCGTATATAGCATAGGGTGAATTTAGTGTCCTGGAGAATCAAGTTTATAGTGTTTTGTGCCATACAAGAAACTAAAAAGGTGAAAAGTAGGGGGATAACTGATTGTCTTTTGTTCTGGAATCACCTGTGCTACTTAGTACTGTATGATACTAGCAACTTCGGCTTTTCTAAGTTGCACATCAAGAAATTACTACCTTTTGCTGTGTTGAACTCTTGTGAATTAGCATGGCAAATGTAGAACAAACTGAAGCCTCTCAGTTTGTGTCATCTCTTATCCCACAATGCCTCCTCCTGTGTCCATCATAAGAAGAAAACCTCAAAATATCTTGCTGCTCTAATTGATCAGTATAGGTAAAAAGCACTGAAATAGAAGGTTTTAAAATGTCCTTTAAAGATGCCAATTTTCTACTTAACTTTACTAGTAAATTCTGTGTTTTATCATAATACTTGCTTTAGAAAACACTCTGTCTAGGTTCCTTGAGAAATTAGTGTTAAGGAAACCTGAAGCCCTAATCTCTGCTGCTGCAGAGTGATAGCTACACATGAATGAGGCTGATCCCTTGGTATCTGAATGAATAGAAATATTTTGTTATTGCTGTTCTTCTGGACAGTAACTATTGATCCTCTTCCCTCTACACCTTTATTTTTTTTGAAATTTGGAGTCAGTTCTCTGGCTTGCACTAAAGTTGATGAGCTCTGCCATTTTCTTTGTGAGTATTGTAATCAGAGAGGAAAGTAAAATGAAATGGGATCTGTTTGTGGTTCTGTGAGATTTCACTTTGGATAAATGTGTATCAATTTGTATCAATTTTTGTGTTTCAGTTTCCGGACTAAGGAATCCTTTTCCTCCCGTGTGTGTGTACCTTCTTCCCCCAGGCTGTGAAGCCTTCTGTTGAAGGTTTCTCTATCCTGATAAAAAATGATGTGGTTAACTAAGTTTTTAACTATTCTAAATCAATTGGACTTTCTTGTCCTTCAGCGTTGCATAATAACTACCACATTACTGAAGGATGCTGCAGGAGATGGGTCAGGATTCTTTGTACTCTCGGTTTTCTTATCTGTAGAATAGCAATGGTTATTTTTTTTTTTTTTAAATTTCATGTTCAGTTAAACTTGTCAAGTTCTTGATAAAAGTACACCAGATAAAATGAGGCACTACAAGGAAAAGAAATAACATCTACATTGTACAAGAAAGGTGATTGTTGCTGATCATTCATCCAGAACAGCCTATGCCATGAGTTTTGTTTACCAATCACAACTAAGCATAGCTATGAACATCAGGCATGTAACAGCAAACCATGTGAGGAATTCTGTAGGGTAATTTCAGGTATGTTGGAGAGACCATCATCTTCTCTCAGAAATTCTTGAAATAAAAATAAAAAATAAGTGCATAAAGTATTCAAGGTGGATTATTTGCTCAGCTTTAGCTGTCACTTAATAAAGCAGCCTTTGCAATTTGTAATGTAGCCTGTATCCTCTTTACAATAGAGAGATAAATTGCATCTCTAAATTAGTCTGTGTGACTGCTGTACAGCATTACATAAACCAAAGGCAAACTACACTTAATGCTTAAAGGATCCAGTTCATATGAAACATTTTCAAGTTCTGAAATCATTTAGCCGTGCAGACTAGCATATAAAGTGTATTGTGTAGCCCTGGAATTTGGAGTATATTGTGTACGTTTGCATAATATCCTTCCAGATCAGTTCTGTGTAATACCCAAGAGACAGGTATATTCTCAATTCAGGCTTATGTTCTTATAACAAAGCACTGCCTTTGATTGAATTGGATTAATACGAGCACTGAGTTGGAAGAAATTGCACATAGGCCAGCAGTGAAAAAATGTACGTTTTTGTGTCTCCTAAGATTGCCTTCCACATTAATTTGACTTCGAGACAAACATAAAAATGAGTAAATTTTAAAAAATAATTCTTTGCAATGTTTACAGTAAAAATTTAAAGAAATTGACGCACTTTGTATGAAGTTTGATTTGTTGGGATGAAAGATGTATTTTTGAATTCTATCCAAAATTTCTGCTGAAATAAAGAAATTAATGATGTTCATGCAACAAAATGTTTGGATTTGATGTGTCAAAGAAACAAAACCAAAAAAGTAGAGAATTACCTTTAAGCCAGTGATTTATTTATTTGTGATTCATTCTAGTATGAATGGGTCAGAAAAGGAAGACATAGCAAGAAAAGCCACTGTATTACTATGGTTTTCTATGTTAATGTGTAAGTATAGGAGTGGAATTACGTAGAAGTGAAGATTAGCTGGTGGGAAACTGCTTGGATAAAATACAATTCTGTTTTCTGTAGTTCACCGTTCTTCCATTTACGCCATTGTTATTGTGTAGGGTGAAGTGCTGATGTACACTCAGCACTTTGAGGAAGATGAAGACAAATCACATAGTCCCTGCCCTGAAGAGAAATGAGTGAAGCGCAGGTCATGCAGGACTTCCATTAAGAGACTGTTTTCAACTTGACTTCGCTTTTAACTTTTCTAAGCCTTCTCATTTGGGCTGATGCTGCTTTATCCATCTGAGACTGACATATCTCTTTGAACTACTTTTGCTTAAAAACTTACCCATTTATCCAAATGTGGTTAGAGAAAATGGGTTGTTTTGTCACTGTTAAAAACAATCAACCATTTACATGTACTATATTTGGCAGCTCTAGTTTCTTTGCTTTGGAGCAGACCTTTCAGGCTGAGCCACTGGCCATCTCAAAACCTGACCTCATCGCAGGTCTTTGAAAAGTTTAAATTTACTCATGCTCAGGAGACATTTGCTACATTTTAATTTAACAAGTATCTTCTTAAAAGATTCCCCCTGAATTAAATGTGTTCCAGGCAGGGACCATAAGGTCTGGCTTCAACTTTCTTTGAAATATGCAGGGGAGAAGGGATTGTAGTAGAAGCGTGAAATAAGCCTGCATAGCTAGTTGTTGTTTCTTATTTTAGCGAAGCTTGAAGACCTAAACTGTCTTTCAGTGCAGTGTTTATATTTTTTCACGCTTATGAAAGTACACATTTCCTTAGCGCAGTGTGAGAATATAGATTGTTTGGAACTGTGGTAATCAAGAAGCTGTTAGGAGCCCAGCTGAGCAGATGATATGCCATTGCTGGGGCTAACCGTACTTCCCTGGTCCTCCAGCCTTTTAGTCTGGACCTTTTTAATGTCTCCTCACCATTGCTAGAGGAAGTGCTAGTTCTTGTGTTATGCCTCCAATTGCATGTGTGCATAGGTAATTTAATGAAAATTATCTAAAATAATGGCATAGTAGCAAAATTAACTTTTCATACGTATTTTCTGAAAATACAAGGAAGGACTGGATAGGAGGCCTTGTTAAAAAAGGATTTATATTCTGTTAATGTGTATGTACAAATATTTGAATGACTGAGAAAACAATGTTTGCTCTTACTAGAAAACAATCAATTCTAAGTTAGATATGACTGACATAACTGTACTCCAAGATTGAACAGAAAATCTCTCTTCTCTAGGAAATCTGAAGGAAGCAAATGGTTCTTGGACCTAGATTGGTTCCAACCCTTCCTGCTTGAAATTGGGATAATCTTTGAAACTTAGAAAAACATTCCGATAAAAGGCTAGAGAGAGGAAGGAGAAGACCCTTGAAATTAGGGTGACAGGCTTTTTTTCCTAGATAGCAGTGGGAGAAGCAGTGTCTTGTCCTTAAATTTTCAGACTGCTGCAAAATTTGTCAATGAATGACTCCTAGAGGACCTGACTGAGCAGCGGATCTTCACCGTTGTGAATAGTTCAGAGTTGCTGAAGTGGTCTTGATGATCCCTGCAAAGGGGCCCTGTGTGTGCATGGATGGTAAGACTGGAGGTTAGTCTTGTGGATTTGATTAGAGACTGGGAGCCTTTAAGCCTTTATTTAGCAATTAAAAAACAAAGCTTTGAAAACCACTGTCATCTTCAGAGCTGAGCAATGGATGAGAAAAACAACATTTACTAGAAGGTTTAGTTAGAAAGAAAAGACAAAACCCGTACACAAAACAGTTTATCCCAAGAGTAAAGGAGTTTATCCCAAGTGTTGCATCCCAGCCGTTCTGCATTTATTACATTCTTGCTATCTTTATTTGAGCTAAAAACTTTCAAAAGAATAAACTT